CCCAGAGGGCGGCTCCATCGTCTCCTGGTCATCTCAGAGGCTGATCAGACTCCATTCCCATGTCCTGGCTGATGTACTCCAATAAGCTCCGTGGGTCCTATCCCTACTCCAGTGACACCAAGATGGTGGCCTGATCAGTCCACAAAAACAGCCCTCATCGTCAGCCATCACCCTGATGGCCGCATGCAAATGAGGGCTCTTTTGAAGTGCTCTTTCCAGCACTGGGTGGCTGGTTGTTCCTTCTTAGGCCCCCCCCTTGTTTCCCAGCAGGCAGGGCTGTCCAGTCCCGTCTGTCAGGGGTAGGCCAAGGGCGCTGTGTGCCAAGGCCTGGCAGCCGGGCACTGCGGTGCAGGAAGACGGGGGGCAGTGGGCTGCAGAGGGGGTGGGCTCCGAACACTGGGGTGGACCACCGGGTGCCGCTGATCGCACCTGGCTTCCGCCCTTCTCCCCACGCCGCGCCCCTCCACGCTGCCCCGCATGCGCCTTCCCCGCCGGCCTCCACCTTCCGGGATGCGGGAGAGCCTGTCCCCTGCGGCCGCTCGGCCCAGCCCCGCCACCGCGGCTAACCCGGGCTTCATGACGGACGGCTCGTTTGGCAGCATCCTTGAGAAACCAGCCCCACGTCCGTTAACAGACACCCTGAGTACTTTCCAAGCCTCTGACGGCTCCCCACCCCGCGCCCCGCACCGTCCACCGCGGGGGGCCGGCCTGACAACGGGCGTCTCCGCTCTGACCTTGGCCCGGTCCCGCCTGTTTGTGGCCAGTCCGTGAGCTAAGAACCGTTTTCACGCTTACAAACGGTTGGGGGGAGAAAACCAGTGTTTCGTGACGCAGGAAAACGACATAAAATCCAAACGTTGGAGCCCTGAAACGAAGTGTCGCGGCCCCACAGTGGGGGTCTGCTTCTCCCCGCCCCCCACGGACATGCGCACGCCCACAAGGGAGACACGGACCCTCCGGCTCTCCTCGGAGGAAGTGTGCTCACGCCCGTTCTGGAGCACACCGAGGGCTGAGACGGGGTCTTCAGGCCGCAGAACTGGGGTGAGGGATCCCCATCAGCCTGCTGTTTGCTGCTTGTCTGAAAACAGTGAATCGAGGCCCCGATTCTGAGACGAGATTCCCGTCTTCTGGAGCGAGCGGTGTGCGTGCGTCACGCGCCGCTCCTGTGGGGGTGACACTGTCGGGACACGAAGCCTCGCCGGCTCCCGGAAACCCTAGCGGAGAAACCGGTTCTGTCCGGCACGGCTGGGCTCGCCACCGGCTTCCTCTGCTGCCTGACCCTCAGAACCCACGCAGGGGACCCTCGGTGGCCACGGGGGCTTTGCTGCGTGGTTAAGGATGGCAACGTGGGAGCGTCCCAGATGGAGGGTGGGCACTAGATCCAACGACCAGCGCCCCTGTGAGAGGAGAGACGGGTGAGGGCACAGGCCGGAGGGGCACCGGGGCCACCGGGAGCTGGAAGAGCAGGAAGGACCCTCCCCTGGAGCCTCCGGAAGGAGCGCAGCCCTGTGACACCGGGATTTCTGACTTGAGGTCTCCAGAACTGGGAGAGAACACAGTCCTTTTGTTTCAGGACTTCTGGTTTGGGGTCATGGGTCATGGACACCAGCGCAGCGACCATCCCACCATCTGCTGGCTCCGTGTCCAGCTGGGCTGGTGCTGGCCTAGTGTGGACTGGAGAGGGCAGCAGGTGGTGCGGTGGTGAGGAGTTTGGTGAGGGACGTGGGGCCAGGGCCTCACCTGGGGCCTTGGGTGCCATGCTGGGGAGTGGGTGGTGTGGGGACCCCCAAGTCAGGGCCTGTGGGTGCTTCAGACAACCTGCCGAACCCTGGTAGGGAGCAGGGGCCTGGGCCAAGTGGCAGGAGAGTGGCAGCAGGGGCACTGCAGTGTGAGCCCCACGACTGAGGTCCCCGGGGAAGAGCAGACTTGGACAGGCTGGGCTCGGAAGTATCTGGGACCCCCGGTCTGCTGGCCGGAGCCAGGAGCACGCGCAGGAGTCACGAGCGAAGGAGAGGCATCGGGGCAGAAGCGCCTGGCTAGGTTCTTTGGGAACTATAAAAAAGTCAGAACACGTTAGCTGCTAAAGTCCCGTAAAGACTGGAAACCAAGCGTCCTCTGGGGTTGTGGGGCCAAGTGGGAGCTGATGGATGCGGGGTGCTCAGCAAACAGTCCGAGCCTCAGAGAAATCGCGGCACTCCTGGAAGCAACGTGCAGCCAATCGGGCCCTGCGCGCCCTCCCTGCAGCCAGCGAGCGGCCCCGGGGGCCCCCCTCTCTGAGGTCCGGGAGTCCCCCTCCAGCTATCTGTCCTGGACGGCGGCCTGGCTGGCGCACAGAGCCCCGCCCCGGCTGCTCGCGCTGCAGGCCTACAGCACCAGCCGGGGCCCCGGGGGCCCCTCCGCGTCGGACTGGGGGAGTGACAGCCCGCTCAAGGCTACATGGCGGGGCCCTGCGGCCGCACAGACAGCAACACGGACACCCACACTGATCCAGGAAGCTGTCCCGACGCTCAGAACCAGAGAGAGCCAACGAGGTACGGCGTTGCGTGCAGAAGGTCATGGATGCCTCTGAACCATGTTTCACAGGCACGCGTGCCCTGAGTGCTGCTGAAACACGGAGGGAAAGTTCTGGAAGGGGTGCCCCTCTGGGAAGGAGTAGCCTCCACATCACACCGCACACAGTTTTACGAGAAAACCTTCACGTGCTTCTCGAGGAGGGTGCCTGCGAACGCTCAAACAAGCCACAGAGGATGCCCCCCACCCCCGTCTCCCGGGTGCCCTACCTGCTCCGGACGTCCTTGGCGCGGATGGGCGCCAGGAGGCTGAAGGAGGACTTGGCATCACAGGCCAGGGGGCTTGGGGGCCGGCCGGGGCCCAGGCTGCTGTGGGCCCGGAACAGTCTGCTCTGCAGGCGGGGCTTGCAGTCAGTCTGAACCAAGTCCACCCTGTCTGCTGACCGCAGGGAATTGGAGGCCACCTTCTGGCCCACAGCCGGCAGCCTGCTGGGGCTCCCAGCCAAGGCCCCGTCCCGGTGCAGGAGGTCCAGGGAACTGCCGATCATTCCGGAGAGACAGTGACCCCACGAGGAGGGGCTCCCTCCGGCGCTGCCCTGGGCCCTGCGGGATGTGGGGATTTCCTGCAAGGAGGTGCTCAGGCAGGGTGGGGAGTCAGTGTGGTTAGGGGGCCTGGGGACCTCGTCCTGCAAGGAGCCCCTAGAGGGGCTGGCCCCACTGCGCGCGGCCAGGTCCTCCTGGCTGGTTCGAAAACGCCGCCTCCTCCATGCCTTCTCGTCCAGTGACAGAGCTCGCTCCAGCCGGGGCCTCATCGGCGGCTTTGGGGTAAAGGGTGTGGCCTTGGCTTGTGGGTCCTCATTGCTGATTTGTGCTGGAAGGTTCAGAGGGAGCACTGGGCTCTTCTCAGGGCCCTGACCGTTGTTGGTAGGCGGGGACCCTGGGTGGGCTTCGAGGTCTCTGCCCGTGTTTGGAAGCTGTCCCTTGAGCATTCTGTCTTCAGGCTGCAGATGCTCCTGAGCGGCAGGCTGCGGGGGAGATGCCTCTGAGCGGCCCAGGCCCGCTAACGTGGACAGCCCAGCCCCCCGGCCCCGGGAGGCCCTAGGACACAACTCCCGCTGGGCGCTGCCGGTGAAGCCCGGGGTCAGGGATGCACGGTCAGACGTCGGCGGGCAGCCACTGAGGAGAGAAGGCGCAGGGGCTCCGCTTCAGGCCCGGGGCCGGCCGGTAGGGGCAGGGCCCGTTGCTGCATGGCTGGGAGCCCTGAAGTCCCGCTGTCTCCCACAGGAACCTACAGGAAAACCGAGCTATTGGCCTCGCACAGCCACGGCCCCCATGCCAGGTGAGTGCTCCCACGGGACCGCTGCGGTACAGGGTGACAGAGCGACAGGCCAGCAGCAGTCTAGCAAGAACACACATTGAGACGTTCGCCCGTTGCCTCCTCCTGGGAGGTGGGTGCAAGCTGGCACCTCTCAGGATGGGAAGCCACCACACCGACCGGCCTGCCCCTCCGTGGGGCGCTAGGGGTGACTAGGAGAGAACCACAACCCCAAGGTCAGGGCCAGTGCGTGCAGCCTCCAATGGCGGAGGGAGGTCCCTGCGCCCTCACTCACCTGCGTGCCCACCCCCATCGCTCCTCCCGCAGACCCCGCCCCAAGAGAGGTCCCCTCTGCAGGTTGGAGGCCACGCCGCCGCCAAAGGCCCCAGGCTCAGAACCTGGGAGCCAGTGAGGCCGCCGCGGGGTCCCCAGGGCAACGACCGCCGCGCAGGCGGACCCCGCCCCCGGCCCCTGTCCCCGCCCCCACCCAGGGGTCACCCCACGCCCTGGACCCGCGCGCCCGCCCCATCCAGGGTCGCCCCGCGCTTCGGACCCGCGCCCCGCACCCCC